ACTCCCACAAAGCAGGCCACACCTACAGAAGAGGTTCTAAAAAATTTTGAAACCCACCACTGGTCCTGCTTAAATAGAATCCAGCAGCAAGTTTAAGGACATCTGTTGCTATTTGGGGGAAAAGAAGATGGGAAGATTGAGCCAAGAGACTCAGCCAAGGGAGCGACCAGATAAGAGATAGCCTAGCCCACGCTGAATAATGGGTGGGGCAATCATCTCAGAAGGGATCCTTCTCTAAGTCCTCAGGCTGTAAAGTGATGGTAGGACTTTCAGACTTGTAAGTTTCTGTTAAGGTAACTTCCCTATAAATTTAGCGTTAGCTCATCTGGTTTTGACTCCTATCTGGTGTCAAGGTTGCAAATAGCATCCAAAATTAAATTAGAGTCCGAGGCAAAGGATTCCTCAAAGTTCCAATTTATGAAGAGAGCCATGTTGGCACACCTGGGAATCTGAAAGCTTCCCAGTTTTCCCCACCCAGTTGAAAGTTCAAGATCTTGCCCCCCACACCCTAAAGTCCATCACATTGTCCAATCTCACGCTGGCACGCTGGCAGTTCCACCCACCCAGATCCGGTCAGGTGCAGAGGTGCAGAGACAAAAGATGACCTTGGCTTTCTAGAAAGAATGTTGTTATGGCTACATATCATCTCACTTCTTACAATCCCCCCCCTCCCATTTTCCCACACTAGAAAATGCATAGTAGAATAATAGAAAGTGTGGTAGGCCAAAGATCCAAAAGAAAAGATGGCTGAAGGCCTGACATCTTCGTTTACCCCAACTGGCTGCCTTCAATCTTGCAAATCTGAAAGTACATCCTTTCCCCCCTCCTCCTTTACAGCTAAAGAAACTAGGGAGGGTCTCTTTGGAACCTCTGTTCATCTCTGGGTTCTTCTGTCTCTTATCTGACCATTCCTTAGTCAGCTTCTCTTTGTCCCATCTACCGAGGTCTTTCCCACGTGTTATTTATTACACAATGATTTTTCTTCAAGAAAAGTTTTGGATGATTCCAGCGGTTCAGAATGGATAATCTTGAATTGAATCAGAACTGGCACAGGGAACCTGATTGTGCCATCAATTATCCATGACCTGCATACCCCAAGCTGGTGAATGTCGATGTGAAGCTCATTGCAGCCATAGGCTATCCTGTTTTGGGGTAGAAATGTAGGGAAAAGGAATGGAACACTAACCAAAACCTTGCTTCCCAAGCAAAGAATTATACCGTGTTTTCTCGAAAATAAGACAGGGTCTTATTTTCTTTTGACGCCCGATATGTATGTTGAATGTTGAATGTTGATTTTATTTATATGCNGCTTTCGTTCCTGGACGGAGGAGCGGGGGTCAGAACAAGTTTCCTTACCCAAACTTGTGATAGCACTGATGATGTTGCCTAGTTTGGGTAATGAAACGTCTGCAAGAAAACAACCGAGCTCAGAATTTTAGTTGACTAGGTTTTTTTTGAATAAATCTTGTGTGCAGCAGTCTAACAGAGAATCCCTTCTCTTTGTGCCTGACAGTAAGATCGTTTCCACACCAGTAACTTGCAAAATCTTCACAGCCACATTGTGTTGACATGACCTAGTAAAGCCTGTCTACATGCATTGAAATTCTGACACAAGAATGACTGGATGATGCTTGAAGATGCTGGAGGTCACCGGTGGGGGTGGGAGGACTTAAGACCCTGCCCAAGTTCCTTTTCTCCTCCTGAGGAAAAATCCTTTTAAATTATTTGGGTGGAAGATGAAATATAAAGAAGGAAATGAAATAAATCTCCTCAGGAAAGGAAAAAAAAAAAATCCGTGAATGAACGAAGGGAAGTAAATTTATAGAAATCAAGTAAAGAAATATGCCGTATATATATTTAACTGAGGGGCTTTTTAATGTGTTTTTTTTTAATGTTTTAACTATTTTAATATCTTTAGAACTCTGAGTATCACGGAGCAACAGGGGTGGCGATAGAAACGGAATGAATTAATGAATAGAAATGGAATGAGTGAATAAATAAATAAAGGAGATAAATAATAGATTTGAGTGAGATTTATCCCAGGGGCAACTTCATAGAATCTCTCTCTCTCTGCCTCTCTTTCTCTTTCTCTCTTTCTCTCTCTCTTTCTTTCTTTCTCTCTCTCTCTCCTTCTCTCTCTTTCTCTCTCTCCCCACTCTCCTTCTCTCTCCCTCTCTTTCTCTCTCTCTCCTCTCTCCCTCTCCCTCTCTTTATCTCTTTCTCCTTCTCCCTCTCTCTCCCTCTCCCTCTTTCTTTTTCTCTCTCCTCTCTCTCTCTCCTTTTCTATGTCTCTCCCTCTCTCTCCCTCTCTTTCCCTTTCTTTCTTTCTCTCTCTCCTCTCTCTCCCCCTCTCCTTCTCTCTTTCTGTCTCTCTTCCTTCTCTCTTTTTCTCCCTCTCTTTCTCTCTCTCCTTCTCTCTCTCCCCCACTCCTCTTTCTGTCTCTCCATCTCTTTCTTGCTCTGTCTCTTCCTTCTCTCTTTCTCTCCCTCTTTTTCCCTCTCCTTCTCTCTCTCGTCCCCTCTCTATTTCTCTCTCCTTCTCTGTCTCTCCCTCTCTTTCTCCCCCGCCTCCCTCCCTCCCTTTCTCTCTCTCTCTTTCAGCTTCTTTCTCATTTCTTCCCCAGAAAAAAAAACTCAGATTTTTTGTAAAGAACTTTGCCTAACTGCTTTTTTTATTTCAAAGAAAAGGAAACAACGACATCAGTTCTTGGCTGTTCTCTTGCAATCCAATTTGTCTGCTCTGAGTGTTTGGGTGGAGTTCTTAATATTCCAGAGACAGGAATTCTTGTCTCTCCTTTATTTATTATATATAAACAATTCTTAGTTCTATATGTTTTTAAAAAAAGCTTATTTCTTATCTCCCGTATTTCTATGGCCTCCCTTAAGCCATCAAAAGCAACTTTTTAAATTTGATTCTGGCCAAACATGGCTCAGCTTTGTCCAGCTGGGAAGGATGATGTCGTATTCAACCTGGGTGACCTCTCTGGCAGGAAGCTTGGCTGGGCTCCATCCCAGGATGGGGTTACACCGAAGTGGAAATCTGACTGCCTCCCCTGTCTTGGTTCCAGGAAACCTTTCAATTTGGAAGTGATGATTAGGGCTGTTTCCTCAGGCGACTTAATGTTTTCTGCATCCTCTTCAATGTTTAATTTCTGGATTGGGTTGCAGGAAATCCGTAGCTCATTAAAGAGCCATTCCCTCTTCCTGGCCATAAACCCAGATATGACATGTCTTGATGAGAGAAAGTTGAAATTAAAAAAAAAAGATCATTTTCAGCTCTTGGGTGTAAAAATGTGCCTGTCTCGTGGCTCCCTTCCACCCCTCGCTGTGGCTTCTGCCTCTTTGTCTGCCTTGCAGGGAGGGGGAAAAATGATGTAAAAAAAAAAAGGAAATTCTTCCGAAAAGCTACGGATTATCCAGATGGAAGATTATCATATATATATTTTTATTACATACCTGCATTCTGCATGTGTTGCCTTGGCATTTCTGCTTTTATCAATTAAATGCTTCTAAGTGCCACTTTATGGCTCCACAGCCAGGTAAAAATCATTTTTAGAACCCGCTGGATGGAAGGATGGCTTTTAACTGCTGAATCGCTTAATAGAGGCAATCATTTTGTGTAATGTTTCAACTAACCAGCTTTGCAAAAGGTTTCGAGCTCACACCGGGGCTGAGAGAACTGATGGATGTCTTAAAACCCAATGGGGGGGGGGGGAGAGAATCGCATTTTCTTTTGCTAAATTCAAACTCATTGACTGCATCCCTGAAGCCAGATACAAACAAGATATTGAATAAAAGAAACATTGCACCTATCTCTCTATATATACGTATATGTGCAGAAGAGGAAAACAGCAAGTGTAAGGAATCTAAATATAACGAACAACATAGTTACTTTAAAAAAAATCCAAATAAGTTCTTTAAATGCTTCTATCGCAATCTTAAAATTCCTTTTCCAAAATCCATACATCGGTGTTTCCTTTTCTGGCCTTTTCGCTTTGATTTGAGATCTTGTATGCGTGTTTGTGCGTATATGTCTCGGTGCTTGGAAATGCCATTTCTATTTTGAATAGCTTGGGTCTTCCTACCTTCCCCCATATCTTGAGGGCAAATTTTGCTGTGTTCAGTGATGCAGGAAATGGATGTCAGTAAATTATTATCCTAACATTAAAAAAAATAAAGAAAAGAGTAGGGGGGAGGGGAAAAAAAACCCACAACGTGCTACTACATTTAATTTTGTTTGGATTTGAGGGAGCCACATAGCTACACAAATGGGTTTGATTCTAAAATTAGAAAGAAGAAACTTTTTTATTTTTGAAACAGAAGTGCATTAAAAAAAATTTCTAACCTCATCCTGCAAACCGTTTGTTGTTTTGGATATTATTAAGATACCGATAGAAGAAAATATTTCTAGCTCAGGGTTGAACTGTTGGCCCTTAATCAGTGGACTCTAGAAGTTATAGATGCTGAAACACTGGAGATTTTTTTTTAAAAAGGGATTGGACGACCATTCGTCTGAAATGGCCTAAGGTTTCCTGCTTGAGCAGAGGGTTGGACTAGAAGACCTCCAGGGTCCCTTCCAATTCTTTTATTCTGTTATTCTCTGAGCTTGGTTGTTTTCTGGCAGACTTTTCATTACCAAAATAGGAGCATCATCCGTGCTAAGAATACCACATTGTTCAAATATTTATTGTTTATTGGGGTGGAAACCTCTCAGAATTTCCTTCTTTAAAACAGTAAAAATTCTCCTGCTTGCGTAAACTGTATTGTATACCAGCAAATACCGTTCTCATCACATAATTTAGCCTATGTAAATATTGGAAAGGGAATAAAAATCACATCTGCTCTTTGGGTATGTTAAAATATTCATGACTGGGAGAGACATGGGAGCGGGGTCGGCCAATGAATAGGCACAGCAACTAAGTCAGCCAATGGGGGCTTAAATGAAAATGAGTCTGTGCTGAGAATTGAAACAGAAACTTAAGAAGGAAGCAGTCTGCTGCTCTGAGATGTAAACTAGCAGTCTGTTTGGGTTTCTCTGCTGAAAATGAAACTAACTGCTTGTGTTTGCCTGTGACTCTCCTGCCTTGTGTTTACTTGGAAAAACCACCTGTTGGTATTGTACATTTATTCATCTATTCTTATGTAGATAAAGAAGTTAATGAATCCAGCTGAATCCGTTATCTGTGTGTGCTTCTGGATTTGAATTTATGCAACAAACTCTGACAGGGTCACTCTGCATTTGCTTTTATTTCTTAAATGCCGTCGTACGTTTTGGAGTCCTTTTAAAATAAAACGTGTGTGTGTGTGTGTGTGTGTGTGTGTGTTTTCCCCCCCACCAAAGGAGAAACAGGTCTCGGGAAGTCGACGTTGATGGATACGCTCTTCAACACCAAGTTCGAAGGAGACCCAGCTTCTCATTCCCAGCCAGGCGTTCAGCTGAAATCCAGTTCCTACGACTTGCAGGAAAGCAATGTTCATCTGAAGCTGACCATTGTTAGCACGGTGGGCTTCGGCGACCAGATTAACAAAGAGGACAGGTGAGTAGGACTTGTCCGTGGTGAAATAGAAACCAGGACTTATTTTCTGGCTAGATTCATTTTGACGGGAGCTACATATCGTATTTTTCAGAGTATAAGGCGCACCTTCCCACCCCCCCTTAAAAGAGAGCGGAAATGTCGGTGCGTCTTATACACTGAGTAAATCCATTTTTGGCCTTCAAAAAGCCCTGCTCCCACATCCCATTTTTTGTGAAAGACAGGCCATTTTTCGCAGAAACAGAGGCATTTTTGCCTTTCCCCAGCCCCCAGCAGGCTTCAGCAGGGCTGGAGGAAGGTAAAAATGCTTCCATTTTTGCAAAAAGCAGCCCATTTTTTGCAAAAACGGGGCCGTGTTTGCCTTCCCCTAGACCTGCTGAAGCCTGCAGAGGGCTCCTGGGGGCCAGGGAGGACAAAACTCTTTTTTTTCCCTTACTTGCCTCTTCGAAATCTTGGTACGTCTTATACACCGGTGCGTCTTATAGTCCGAAAAATACGGTATGTCTAGCCTAAGGAAGGAAAGGACTAAGGGTGGCAGTCTTCCGATATGGGTGGGGCCACCACAAAGAGGAAGAGGTCGGCCTAGTCTCCAAAGCACCTGAAGGCAGGAGAAGAAGCAATGGGTGGAAACCGATCAAGGAGAGAAGCAACCTTAGAACTAAGGAGGAATTTCCTGACGGTGAGAACCATTAAGCAGTGGAACAACTTGCCACCGGAAATTGTGAATGCTCCAACGCTGGAAGTTTTGAAGAAGAAATTGGACAGTGATTTGTCTGAAATGGTAGAGGGTTTCCTGCCTGAGCAGGGGGAGTTGGACTAGAAGACCTCCAAGGTCTCGTCCAGCTCTGTTATTTCATTATATTCTTGAGAGCCAAATCTGTTAGTGCCTTGTTGGCTGAATCCAGACTGGACCCCTTAGATCAGTTCAGGTGAAGCGCTGAACAGGAAAGTGAGTTGACATGGGTGACATTTCCTCATGTCCAGTCTTGAATTCTGGGACTGGTGGAACTCACCAACCATCTGGAGAACATCAGACAAAAGAAGTTGCTCAAAAGAAGCTTTTCTTCTATGTAGGAAGCAGCGGAAAAGAATTAATACACGTTCTGTCTCCCCATTTTTTCCCCCCATGAAGCTATAAACCCATTGTGGAGTTCATCGACACCCAATTTGAATCCTACCTTCAAGAGGAGTTGAAAATTAGACGCGTGCTGCATAATTATCACGATTCCAGGGTCCACGCTTGCTTGTACTTCATCGCTCCCACGGGACATTCTTTGAAGTCCTTGGACTTGGTCACCATGAAGAAACTGGACAGTAAGGTAGGACGTGCAAGGTGCAGCTGATGAGAAGGTCTTCTTGTCCATGACCTTGGTCCATGTGACACCCCCTCCCCCGAGGTCCACTTCTGTGGTGCCTTCTATACTTTGATAAGTGGGATATAATTCATTTGGAGATTGTGTTGTTGGGGTGCAATTGGTAATCTTCATTCAGTCCTGCTCAGGGGTGGGTTCCTGCCAGTTCTAAGCTCTTCTATAGAAGAGGTTCCACAAATCTACNGGCTCTCCTCCGGGTAGTCGCCAGTCGACACTAGCCGGCGGATGGAATTCGGAAGAAGCCTAGTCTTTGGGATCTAATCGGTCTAGTGGAGGTGATTGGCAGCAGGCGGTCTCTCAAGTACCCAGGTCCAGACTTTCAGGCAGGACTTCCTTGTTATTGTTATTGTTCCTTTCTTCATCCACAATTTTGAAAGTATATTTTTATTTTAGTTTATTTTTTAATTGAACTATCGTTAGTAAACATAACTAACTAAATTAGCGTAGATATTACATGAATAGAGGGGGGGGAACAAAAATACCAACAAATCTACTAAAGTTTTCTAGATGCTTTTACTGGTTTATTGTTTTTGTTTTAATGGTTTTTATAATTTTTGAACTGCAACCCACCAGAGTCACTTGGTTGAATTGGCCAACTGTAGAAATTGAATGAATAAATGAATAACAATTAATAAATAAAATGCAAGTGGAGAGGTACGATTTACAGATTTAACCATGTATGCGAAGTATTACCTTATTGTAGTCTATTGCTATAGGGATGAACCATAAAATCCACCCAAGTTTGATGAAATTGTGACTCCTTCCTGTAATGTCTGATACATCAACTAATATTGAAGTTGAATTCTCTCTCTCTTTTTTGGGGGGGTGCTCCAGGCTCATTTACCTTTTGCCATCATTGGCAGCACAGAAGAAATCAAGATAGGAAATAAAATGATGAGGGCGCGCCAATATCCATGGGGGATAGTGCAGGGTAAGTAAAGTGGCTAGTTCAACCTTGCTGGCACCTTGACAAAATGTTCTTCCTTGTTGGGTCTTGTGAAGCTGATCCTGAACAAGATAGCTTCCTAGAAGGTCCCACCTGTGTAATAACTTTTAGAGTTGTCTTTCGGTTCAATAAGAAGCAACGGATGGAAACTAATCAAGGAGAGAAGCAACCTAGAACTAAGGAGACATTTCCTGATAGCTAGAACAATTCATCAGCGGAATGACTTGCCACCAGAAGTTGTGGATGCTCCAACACTGGAGGTTTTCAAGAAGAGATTAGACAACCATTTGTCTGAAATGGTCTAGGGTTTCTTGCCTGAGTGGTTGGTTAGACTAGAAGACCTCCAAGGTCCCAAACTCTGTTATTCTGTTATCCTCTTGAGCTTGGCTGTTTTCTTCCAGACACTTCATTACCAAAGTAAGGAACATCATCAGTGTTCAGGACCTCATAATTGAAATATTTTATTTATTTTTGGGTTTTTGGGAGTGGAAATGCCTCAGAATTCCTTCCTTAAATATTCTCCTGCTTAGAGCTGAGGTGGCGCAGTGGTTAAATGCAGCACTGCAGGCTACTTTAGCTGACTGCAGTTCAGCTGTTCAAATCTCACC